TTGGCATTTTAACAACAGAACGTTTAAGATGTCAAGATATCTTAACGCTGAGTATGTTTGTTTCTGAACAGGTAATGCTTATATAGATTCTGCAGTTGAAAAAATATTTTTTCATTTTCAAAATAGAAAACTCATTATGACCAAAACGTCTTCATAAATTGAGTTGAACATTGCACATTCGTGGTTTCCGATTATTCCATCTTGTGGTTTCTTAGACGATACTTCATTAATTGTGGAAAATCGAATCCAAAGAACCAATTATAAACAAGTAACATATTGTTTATTGACTGTGTTTGAACAATCAGGAAATGTTGACCTTTTTTTGTAATGTGGTCTTTTCATGAATAGTCATGTCAGCAAATGAAATACGTTTTGTCAACTTTGTCAACTTGGTGGATTTCCAAGAGCGCACAGGGCAGATGAGCCGCCGCAGTTCGTATTGAACCGTTGCCTTCTAGGATCTAATGGCGTGTCAGACATACATGATTGTCGGTTCGAATCCCGAATCGGTAAGGGCCATATCCGTTCTTGTTGTTTCACCCAGTGGAAGATAACTATTACTTATACATCATGCTTTCATCCAACACCAAACTGATACGCTGTGATGTAACTGAAATACTGTTAAAGGCGGCGAAAAAGGGAATTCACTCACTCACTCATTTACTGATTAAACAAGTTTTCAAAAACTGTGTAAATCTCACATGAAAAAAGACTTCCATGAATTAGTTTAACGTGGCTGTAATACGGAGACCCAAAAAAGTGCTAATACTAAAACCTCTACTGGCACACTGTTCTTTTCTTTACAAAGAACCTCGGATATAACTATGTAATACTGATGCCCCTGAAACCAGTCCTGAATGAACCATATGTTTGGATTTATGGGGTTAATGGTTTTACGTTACACACAGAAATTTCAGGACTGCCAACTTTTAAAAATCTGGTTGGTTGATTACTTAAGCAAAACCCTACAACAAATCAGGTCGGAAGATCCGATCCATTTTACACGCCTCTTGCAAGACGGTTCCTTGGAACCAATTCTAGCCTGGGGTAGCTCTCATAAACAACTACTATTCGCCTTTGATTTTTCAGAATATACCAGAGGTGAACAGAACATGTTCCTGCACCGACAAGCACCAGCGGTGTATAAAGACGAGGAGCAACGACACTGTGTCGACATCCATCAGCCCTCTGTGATCAGGTGGATATTCAACAACGTTGAGAGATTGTGTCCATGAACCTAATACTAGACATAAGGCACTCAGCGAAGAAGCGTCACACAAGCAATTATTTGTATTAATTTCTGGCACATATTTGGGAAATAGGAAAACCAACACAAATACCCCTTGGATGTCTACATTATGAGTTGTCATCAGTAGAATGATGAAACTGATCTAATCTTATACATTACAAACTATTACATTCCATCTCTACGTACTACAACAGCAGCGTACCAGGGGCATTGCAGCTCACCTTCATCGAATGAACAATGTACAAACAATTTGGAATCAGCGCATCACTATTTCTGTTATATCTACCACTGTCTACTTAACGCTCACCTAAGAGAAACGAACCTGAAGGCAAGATCCTATCTATCACCATTAGATATTTATATAATTATGACAATGTAAATTCAAGACCTGGTTTAAGATAACACCTTCCACTTGTTTTAGTAGGTGTTCGGATGTTCAGATAATTTATCGCACCTAACGTTTTTTGCACAGTTATGTGTACACACTGACTCTTCAATAAATCACCTCTACCATTCTGGATAAGGACGTGTCTTCCGTGAATTGACATTTCATTGCATTACACACAATTAAGCAAAACGGTTCACTACAGATTTCTATATTTCTGGAAATAGTGAATGATTTGACGTAACATGGTTTATTTGTTTGTTTGCTGTCTATTCATCCCAGCTAAATGGCGGTAAATAATCGAGTCTGGACCAGATAGTATGGTGATCAACAACATGAACATCGATCTACGCAATTTGGATACGATGATATGTGTCAACCAAGTCAGCGAGCCTGACCACCCGATCTCGTTAGTTAGTTCTAACACAGATCTTCACGGGTAGATATAACAAGGATGACCAAACAGCAAATGACGCAACGTGCTAAATTTAGAGCACAAGACTAATGCATGACCTCGCATGTATAAACATCATAAAGTTACTCCGTATTGTAGGAAATCAGTATTATGTGACACTATATTCCTTGTATTCCTAACAAAAGGAGAAATCGGGGTTAACGTGTTGATGGTTTTGTCCAGTGTCTTATTAACATATGTAAATGGACATTTCTTATATTTATTCGTGGTTGACTTCATAAATGAACCCCCACCGAACGATACTTGATCCAAAACATTCCGTTGTGCATATGTGGTGTTTCTCAGGCGCCAAACACGAGTCATGGCCCAAAGAAATCGACTTTCGACAGACTGGTGGATCATTTCCCATGACCTTTAATTCCAGTGATGTCAACCAGTCGAGTTGCTTTGTGCTCTGGAGAAGACAACGGGCGTCTGGTCGTCTGGCTCTTCACATGGCCGATTCTAGGCGATTTCAGACCGTTCTGGACAAACGACGTGGTAGTCACTCTGTTTATAAGACGCCATTTGACCTGAACGGATGAAGCCTTGTGATTCCGAGATGGGCTCCATCATACCTTGGAGTTACTACTAGTTGTCGACCTGGCACCCTTCAGGACATTAGTTTGCTGATGCTTTCAGGCCAATCGACCGAAAGTCGATGGATGACAACCAATATCTCCTGCAACAGCACTCAATCCTGCATAACAACTGGCCTGCATAACAACTTGCCCTTTTTGATCAGTTGTCAGTTGAGGAGGCCCGATTTTTGCTTATCAACAACAAAATGAATTGATTTTTCCAGTTACCGAGCTGTGGGAACGGTTTACCGAAACTTGATACTTGCTTGATGATGGGTACACATACTGCTTCCCTTTGGTTGTAGCACGTGCAGGGCGGTGGGGTAGCCTAGTGGTTAAAGCGTTGGCTCGTCACGCCGAAGACCCGGGTTCGAATCCCCACATGGGTACAATGTGTGAAGCCCATTTCTGGTGTCCCCCGCCGTGATGTTGCTGGAATATTGCTAAAAGCGGCGTAAAAGCACACTCAGTCAGTCAGTCAGTGTAGCACGTGCATATCTAAAATCAATGTACGGTGCATCCGAATAAAATCATGACATGAATATATATGCTATACGCGGTATAAACATGATAAACACCATAGGTGTTGCGATACTTGTTTTCCACATATACTAGGCACATAAAGAAACTGTGCATACAAAAATTTAAAATCTAAATGTATCAAACCTGTGTAGACACATAAGGATTTAAACACAGAGATTACTGACATGTATCCAACATGCATGCCCGTGCCACGTTCCGTGACGTCAGTTGGTTCGTCCTTGAGACGTGCAATACGTTGTTGCACGTGCATTCCGGGAAAGAGAAACAGAGCAAATGAATGCCACACAATAATGTCACTTTGGAAAGCTCAACCCCTGCCCTTGCGATCGTTCAAAAAATTAAACGGCTACTGAAACGCATAGCATGCCAAGGCTCACGTCTGCACAACGTCATGAGGCCATTGGGATGGTCCGTGGGGGAATGTCTCAACGACAAGTGGCTGCACATTTCCACTGCCACCGGAACTGCATTTCTGCACTGGTGAGACGCTACCAGAACACAAATGACGTCATCGATCGGCCACGTTTTGGACGTCCACGTGTAACAACGCCAAGACAGGACAGATGGATAAGGGTGACCCATCTTCGCCACAGGTTTCAGACTGCAGTGATGACTGCCCGAACCATCCCAGGACTTCGCCGTATCCACCCCAACACAGTTCGACAACGTTTACGTCATCACGTCCGCAGACCCTTGGTTTGGTGGAGAAATGTTGTTTTTACAGATGAGTCCAGTTTTAACATTTCCCATAGTGATGGACGTCAACGTGCCTATAGACGCGTGGGAGAACGTTATGCACAGGCCTGTGTCTTGGAGAGGAATCGCTTTGGTGGTGGTTCCGTGATGATTTGGGATGGAATAACAGCACGCCAAAGAACTCCTTTGGTGATTGTTCAGGGCAACTTAACTGGTGTGGGCTACAGGGATCAGATTCTTCGACCTGTGGCAATTCCTTTTCTGCAACGTCATGGCCCTGGGTTAACATTCCAACAGGACAATGCCCGCCCTCATACGGCAAGGGTTGCTATGGATTTCTTGCAACACCACAACGTTGACTTACTGCCTTGGCCTTCAAATTCACCGGATCTCTCCCCGATAGAGCATGTTTGGGACGAGATGGATCGACGTCTACGCCGTCTTCCTCATCCGCCAGATAACGTCCTTGACCTTGCAACAGAACTTGAGAGAATCTGGCGTGACATCCCACAAGCCTTCCTTGCACGTTTGATAGGCTCTATGCGGCGTCGATGCACTGCTGTTCTCAATGCCGATGGTGGACATACTCGTTATTGAGCTTGTGACATGCTCGTTTGACCCCTGTCCCGCTTGTGGATTCGTGACGTCATTGTGATTGCCTTTTCAATTGAAATTCTCCCGACTTGTTATGGTCTCATGATCCCTCCATTGAAGTTTATATGTACCTTTGACATTGTTATCGTACTTATCAACTGGGATAATATTTTGACAATGCACAGTTTCTTTATGTGGCTAGTATATATCTTTATTGGGTACGGATTTTGTGGGTATGAGTCATCCAGTTATGTTGGCAGGAATGGGTACAGGTGTAAAACATTTGGTTGCGAGTCCGTCAAAAATGTTTGTGTACGAATCTCTGTGGGTACAGCCTCTAGATGGGAATCACATCAATGATGCATCTCACCAAAGCACAAAGCTCAACCTATTGCTTGGCTGCATAATCAGTAAATTCTTTCAACATATTGGATATTATCCCACTGCATTTGTGAACTGTTGAAAACCCTCAGCAAACAACACCGCATTTCTGCAACATGTTCTTTGTAAAATTTATTACAAAATTTACAAGTTATTGACAAAGCCTCAATGATGAGAAGTTCTCATTCCCTGAAGCATGGATGACAAATACAGCGTTCCCCTGAACATAAACTGAGGAAAATGATGGCATGATTTAATTATATGCATAAACTAGAAAATAATTTCCCTTAGAAAATAATATGTGATTAAACTGTCTGCTTAGCAATTAAGATATTCAACATAATCTTCAAATGGATTATGTAAAATGTGATTTACATTACAATAGAGACAAAAGGTAATACTTTCAAAACCTAAAGCCAAAAGAAAAGATGATGAAAATAGGACACCTGTCCATAACAGGTCACATCCAGTTTCTCAGACCTCCTTTTGCTGTCACAAATATTCACCATCTCTGCATGAGGCCATTTAGCAGCTCAACTAATTTTGATTGTTTAAATGCATGACAAACACATACAAATCTGACACAAATCATCATACCTTTCCGTCAAAGTCCCAATGAATATTGAAACAAATGAGAGCTGTAGCATGTAATACAGGCTTATGAATATTTCCGATCACATACAATTCATAAAATACATGCATATGTTTCTATCTGTTGTATGTATGATTGTACATATTTTCTTTTTGCAAATTACTGAAACTGGCAGCTATCCCTTCAATGTAAACATGTTTGGAAACATAACTAATACTTCCAGGCAATGTGGCTTCTTCTGTCAAGAAAACATATTATTGTTTGACTGGGTTTGTTATTGAGAGGAAGGTTAATTAGGAATATACATAACAATATAAATAATATCCATTCATTCAGTTCTCACAGAGATGTTTCAGCATAAATAAAATCATAAATGTATCACATCTATGTCTCCATTTACACAACAGAAGCTCAAAATGCCTGGTGTCAAGTAGGATGAAATCTGAAATGCTGCAGAATAAAGCCTTAATTTCTTCAGAAACTGATGAACAAGGCAATAATTTCTCTGTTCATCCAAGTGTTCCAGAGTTGTATTTTGCAGGCCTAAGTGAAATAACCATGGTTGTGATAATGATTAAACTGGTCTTGATGTAATACAAATGCAGTAACAATGTAAAAATCATAATGGAGTGTGTATGAACATGCATGCACAATTATGCATGCTACAAACAAAACATGCACTGTCCAGAGTTTAAGTTGCCTTCCCCTTCCCTTTGTCTCAAATATCTTATGGTGAAGAAGTGTTACAGCTGAATGAAATATTATAGCATATGTGGAACTGTCTATCACTGACCATCCTGACTTACATCGTTTGTTGTAACATTTCCTGTCAAGTAAATCAGGAAATGAAACCTGTAATCTGCCCCTCTTTGCACATCACAGTATCTTATGTAAATCATATCATTTGCCAATGGCAACCATACAACCATTAGAGTTCAAAGTCTTCAGACTACTGAAAATATCAAAATGAACAGGGATCTGATTCCATGATTCTATAAACATGATAAATGCTACCACTGAACACAGGCTTGATATTGAAAATGCCCATTTGTTGTGAAAAACAACTCCTGTCCACCATATCAAATATCCAGATATCAGTACAAATTCTGTGTTCTAAAACACTGATACAAAATCGTTTTGTAACTTCAGTAAATATATGTCTACTCCTGAAACAAGAGATATTAATTATCTGACTGTCAATAATAATTACCAACCATGGTAAGTATGAGTAACCGTGGCAACATGCAGCTGATGCTGAGAAACAATATTAACCATGATGTGGTTATCACTATTTTGGATTCATTATCACATTCACAGAGCACAATCTCAAGACTTGATCAATGACAAACATACTCAGATTTCCTACCAGTTGTAATTATATAGCATGGTACAAACCTGGAGTAGTGAGGCGGATCTGTATCTGAATATTCCATCATTATTTCCACACATCTGTGGCCAGGAAGTACAGCCTCCTTGTTATTACTAAGCCTAGTTAGTCCTTTACATTATTTTGTATATATCATGCTATACAAATTTGTTGAAACCTTTTATCACAATGCTCACATGATGGAACTCCATGTCTATTACACGTAGCTCCTTGACCTGTCTCGCTTGTACTATACAGATCCATCATGAAATGTGTTGAGAAGCAAAAGCCAGTACCTTGACCCATGTTGACCCAAACCTTACGAGTCCTAAGCTCCATATGACCTCTGACAGATGTGTAACATATGCATGATCAGCAATCTTGTCTGTAAGTGATTTCTTACGCCACAACTTTCACAGTCCTTCTCCATGTCTTCCTAGCAGCCTCATCATTAGGCTATCAGTACATTATTCCCAGCTCCCAGCTGGTTAGGATGTACTCAAGTAGATAGAAGTTCCTACACAGTTTGAGCATCAAGCCTCGTTATCATGGACAAACAACATTTCAGACTTGCCAAGTCCAAATTCCATGAATGTCTTTGGCTCGGGGGTTTCCTCGGTGGGTTGGCAGGGTAATGTCCTTCGAGGATAGTTTGCCACAATTTGAAAGTCATCAGGACATTGTTCATTGCAAAACACAAAGTAGTAGAGATACTGAAATTGAACAATTAGGACATCAAATTAATGATAAATGAAGGCAAAGGTCATTCAGCATCACTGCTGAAAACACCAGGCATTGTTTAAACAATGCATCGGTGATAGAATCTACTTTGGAAGAGTTTCTGAACATTAACATTTTTTAAACATAGTACTATATACTATCAGCATTGCTGATACAGTTCATCTGTGTTAGAATCTACTTTGGAAGAGTTTCTGGAACATAAATATTTTTTTAATTTAGTGTCTCATGCTACCTCAACGTCGTGACACCTTCTCTGTGAAACCTTCGATTCAGCACATAGGAGGGATTCTAATGTTTCTTATGTTTTTACACTGATATCATACAAGCAACCCTTAACAACCATTGTGAATGAAAGTGAAAGTCATGATGACAACAATGTGTTGAAGAAAACAAGACTTAACCTACAGCAACAAGCACAAATCCTCCTTAGGTCAGGGTACCAATTACTTCCCCTTAATTTCAAAACTACTGAGTAACATTGAGGTCTGTAAGTTTGAAAACCTATATAAACACGTTGCCGCCTTCAGTATTGTGATATGTACATTTACTCATGTGGTAAACATTCTGCTACCTTTTCAAGCACTGTGAAAGTATGGAGAGACTAACGTTACCTTCATGGAGTGTGTTTTGAGGAAGCGCCTCTCCAGACGTACACCACTGGGTACCCTCAGAATGATGCGGATAGCATCACTGTCATCAAGTGATGGCTCTAGGGGCATCCCCTGTCGAAGTTCCTCCTTTTGTCGCTCTCTCTCCTGGTAAAACCGTTAAACTATACAAACTTGTGGATTTAGAAGGAAAAAACGTATCTGCATTAGGTCAGTTTAAATATTGTGGAGACCAAGCTGTTTCTATTTTACTTATTTATTCTCATCACTAAAATTAACATAAAAAAGGTTTTAATTAAAATCACAATGTTTTATAAGGAGACATTTTCCAGGGAGAAATCTAGGGACTACATTTAGCAATCTATCTCAGGTATATGAGTGAGTGAGTTTTAATGCTGTTTTTTTACAGTATTTTAGACATATCAACGCCTGTCACTAGTGTCAGTTAGATAATGTGATGCAGGTCTCATCATGATTAAGAACTTCCACAAGCATATAATAAAATCGCCAAAGACAGATAACTGACTTCTAATAGCCTTAATTGTTCCTGCTCCTGGTCTTTGACTTTCTGCTCTTCTGCTTCTCTTTTTTCTTGCTCTTCTCTCTTCTTTCTCTCCTGAAGAAGCATGCCATGACACAGTTAGGCACGGAGGTAAGTACAGGCAGAGAGATGGATTACTTTTTATTCCTTCTCTAATTATAGGGTAATCTTTAATTTGTTCAATGACGGTTATAAATTGTTGTTGATCTGTTGATACGAAATCATCTTGGGGCTCAAGAAATGTAGCTCTTGATGCTATCAATACTTTATGGTAAAAACACACTCAGTATTAGCTGGGACAAACCTTTTCCTGATCTGCTCGAAGAGAAACTTGATAGGCCTGATCTTGCTCCTGCCGTAATGTCTGGTTGAAGTTCAAAGCCTCTCTGTATGCCAATATATAGTTTAATTAAAAATCTACAGCTGTTCTCAGATTAACACTGTGCAGTCTGTTTAATAATTAGTTTATTAGTGTGTCTCATGGAAGTAAAATACTCTTGGGTGAATCAAAGAAAGGGCACTTGAACTGTTTCAGACCATGTGAAAACCAGTCACCTGTCTGCTCTTGCAGCAACTAGCGAGGCCTCATTATCCTCCATCACTCGCTCAAGACGATTCACCATCTCTCTCGCCCCTGAAACATATATATTACCACAGTTTACACTTTGTCCGTCATGAGGCCTGTATAAACTTCTTACATCACTCATGATCTTACAGCTTACCAAAGAAAGTTTTGTACCTTGGACTAGTTGGAGTGACTGAGTGAGTTTAGTTTTATGCCACACTCCAATATTCCAGCTTTGTGGCGGCTGTCTGTAAATATTTGAGTCTGGACCTAACAATCCAGTGATCAACAGCATGAGCATCGTTCTGCGCAATTGGGAACCGATGAAATGTGTAAACCAAGTCAGAAAGCCTGACCACCTGATCCCGTTAGTCGCCTATTACGACAAGCATGGGTTACTGAAGATCAATTCTAACCCGGACCTTCATGGGTCTTTGTACCTTGGATATCAGTCAGATGAAAGCATGATCAAAGCACAATATGGTAAGTCTTTAACATTGTACATTGTTACAACATGTATCAAGAGTCAGATGACACAACTGACGCCAATCGGCTCCTGCACAGTGAGTGACCTGGGTCTGAAACCACTTTGAGCAATCAGTTAGGTCACAATCTGACAGCTAAGTGTGCCAGAGAGAGAGAGGATGTTTGCAATGTTTGCCATTCATGTGATGAACATAAGCACATATATGGTCAAAATCAAATCCACAATTTACAGATTCTGGCATTTTTAAGGGAGGCAACTCTGTGTGTCTTGTGACACCTCATACACACATAAGTTGGCAGTGTCCTCATTCCAAAGTCTACACAAAGCTCCATTCCCAGATTTCAGCAATCTGGATTTTGAGAAGTCTTAGTGAGAATCCAAAGAATGTTACACCAATTCTATATCGAACATTACAGGCAAGGAGGCAGATGAGAGGAACTCACCTAGTGGACCTTCGATGCGGGCTACCACCGTCATTCTGTTGTCTCGGAGCACTATCAGGCACAAGAAGGGGTAGGTATTCTCTTTCAGAGCTTGAGAAACTGAAGCAGATCAACCCACAATCTATTACAATAGCTAAGTATCACAATCTACAGGACTCTCCTCCGGCATAACCCAAACATGCTCAAGACATTTTATCACTGTCACATTATAATGCACTCTAAAGTTACTAGAATGCACTCAAAAGTTACTAGATAATTTGTTTACCTCTATATCCCTCCGGACTGTTGGTGCTACATGCCCAGAACAAAAGTCGACTATTCACAAAATCTGTAACCTCCAATGCTGCTAATGTCACTCTGCAAACACAATGTAAAAGCACAATCATATAAAGAACAGTGTGGCATTAAATTATTTATCATTTTGATGTTGAATGACATGGGTTCAAACTCCAACCAATGCACACAAAACACTGATAACACATGCATTCATTCACACTATCATCCTAGTACACTAAAACATAAATTCACCAACAAAAGTAAGGATATGAGAGGAGGCCACTAATCTGGTCCACAATATTTTTTTTCTTGACTCTCTTCAAGCGTTATTTAGGCTTATTTACATTATGCAATGACACTGCAGGGTCTTAACCGTTACTGTGTTTATACAAGCATTGGGGACTTGCCATAAGCCCTCACAGATGCAAGTTTGGTACACCTATTCAGCTATATTATAGTCTCATTACGGTATCTTGTAATAAGAGTCAGGAAAAACATTGGTTGATAGTATGAGCATCTAGCCATGGGTATAACTAACCACCTGGACAGGCTTGAAAGTACCAGAATGTTTTTGGTCCATGTTACTTGTCGAATATTTAAGGACAAATACATACAGCCAGCTATGTATAATGAACTAAAATGGTAGCGTATTTGTCTTAACAGTCTTAGCACTTAGATCACTTTAAACAAATGAGGCATGATCTTCATCATGCTCATTGTTCAGCTACTGAAACATGGATTGGGTTCTGGGGACCTATCCTGTCCCTGAATCCTGACTGGGCATTGATCAAGACTATGGGCGTAGGAGCTGACCTGCAGAACTCATCTGTGTCCTGATGGTCTTCACCATGGAGATACACCAACAGAAACTTGAGCTCCCGTTTCGCATCATTCAGAGCCTGTTACAAACACAAACATAATACAATAACCACATAAGAACAGTGCAGCAATTACTATGTTAAATGAAAGATCTAAACAGTTCAAGCAGTCAGTTACATGAATGGGATGGGTCAGTAAGTTACTTAAGCATTAGTCTGGATTGCATCCAAGGGTCCCTTGATTGATTGATTGACTGATTGATTGATTGCGTCAAGTTTTATGCCGCTTTTAGCAATATTCCAGCAGTATCATAGCATGGGACCCCCGAAATGGTCTTCACACATTGTACCCAAGTGGGGAGTGGAACCCCGGTCCAGCATGACAAGCGGACGCTTTAATCATTAGGCTTTAACCATTAGGCAAGTGACTTTTGATATAAACACAGATAAAAAAAATATCACATGATATTCACAGTATTGCAAGATGTTTCACCTGACTATACGAGCCCCTGTAAAACACAGGGTGATTGTTCCCAAACTTGTCCCTATATGTCTGAATGAATCTTTCAACATCTCCAACTGGGTCTGTTACATCTGAAAACATCACCAGTTAGTTTATTTACATGATTAACACAGCACAGTGTAAACCAAGCCATATTTGTTTGCCTTGCTTATAGTATACACTAAGTTTATTAACATTTAAGCTTTAAGATGGTGGTCTGTAAATAAGCGATTGTAGACAAGACAGCAAAGTGCTTAACATCATGAGCATCAATCTATAAAACTGGGATAGAATGATATGCATTCACCATATCACTGATCCTCTAAATAATATCTCACAGAAAACATTGGTTTCTGAAGGTCTATTGAAAGGTTCCTGCTTTAGATATGCATTAGGACAGATCATATTTGCTGAAGCTTTACATCAAAATGACAAAACTGAAAAGAGAACCTTTGTGTCTGGAGACAATCAGAATAAATTGAAGAATACTTACTTCTCCGAGGATCTGGTTTTATCAAGCGATCTAAAGAAACAAGAAATAGATAATAACAGCAAAAAAATATATAGAAAGAATGAAGAAATCAAATTAATAGAAAACCTATGCCACTTACAACATGACATAAACATATCCAGTCTCATTGAATCCTATCTACGTTCTACTACAAATCACAACACTGCTTACCAAAACAGGAAAGTGACACATGGAATGTGTTTACTAATCATACAACCTAAAAAAAGTTAACATTGGGCATTCTGAAAGGGCTGTATAACTGATTACATCAAAATGGTGTAAATGGGATAAATTAAGGAGACTGTCTACAGCCTGTGAGAGAGTATATGATCTCAGACATCTATTAGACTTTTCCCTTTATATTTTGTCCGCATTTTGGCTTTGTAGTAGCAAGAACTGAGACCTGATTGACATTAGATCAAAATATATCTAGACAAGGCAATGCCACCCTCATTTCATACAGAAGGCATGCCATAAAATACAAGACCTGTACCTGGTCTATGGAAGGCTTCCATTCCAACAGGCCAAAACCTATGTAAGGCATTACTGTAAAACACCATTCGAAATTGGTCATAGCCTTTCAGTTCAGATTGTCAAGCATTTGGGCTTATTAACAAAGTTACTGCCAAGCATTGGAAGGGAGATAACTGTATGGTTACTGATCATAAACAGTCTACCAAGTGTATATAAATTGTTTACTTCCCAGTTTTTATGAGATTACCACTTTTATTACCAGGTTTAAATTTACAGCAATAAATGCAGGTTGCATATGGGATTGGTTACAAAAATGTAAGAACTGTTATTGGCAAATTGAGCATTTTCAAGGCTTAATCTTCCAGATCTTATTCAAAGACTTGACTGCATGCAAACCTGACAATACTGCAGTCAGGAACACAATCATCTGTTCATCACCATATGCCCGTTCTGAGAAGGTGACTTAGCAGCATGTCCAACAATATGATAGGCATGAGAGTTGAATTATTTAAGTACATTCACACACTTATAAATGCTTATAACACATTACTAAGTAATTGCATGTTGTCTATGTGGATCAACTTACACATAAACTTCATGAGATCATATAGAGTTGAGTAGACAAATCTGAAGGGGAAGAGGATGACAAAATATCCCCACTGGAAGATGCCTTGAGGTCGACGTCGCTCCACAGTGAACACCCTGAAGTTAAACATACAATCTTCATTCTAAGCCAGTCATTATGGTAACGACATATAACCATGTTAACAATCAATACCAATTATTGTACTTTACCTAGCTTTAACTTGAGCAACTTCAAATACCTGATTTAAGAATTATTGAATATTATATAAAACTAGACATTTCCTTTCATCAGTACATAACTTTTCATGTACTGAACATGCTGATGTAGATCTTAGTGGTACAATATAGTCACATATGTGCAAGAGATATCTCTTTTCAAGGAAATAAACTGTGATTTATTTCTAAACGACAACTGCAAAGGCTTCCACATTACATTTTCCTCACCTGGTTGAGACCTATGACATGCATAGGTGATCCTACATTTTCTCAATACAATGTTCAAGCAGGTTAAGACATGTATGTAGTTGTATGTTACCTCTGATCTGAGGGTGAGAGGTTCATAGCAGGCTGCCTGGGTTCTGCTTGAGGCTGGTTGAACACAGCTGGTGCCCCCTCTCTTTCATTGAATGTGTCTTGGACAGCAGCCTATGGGAAACACCAGAAATAAACCATGATGCTGACTGTTTTCTGTTTAACCAAACCAAAAACTTCAGATATTCCAAAAGCCTCTATTGTATCTGGATGAGTGAGTGAGTTAGTGAGTTTAGTTTTATGCCGCACTCAGCAATATGCCATGCCAGCTATATGGTGGCAGTCTGTAAATAATCGAGTCTGGACCAGAGAATCCAGTGACCAACAGCATGAGCATCGATCTGCACAATTGGGAACCGATGACATGTGTCAACCAAGCCAGCGAGCCTGACCACCCGATCCCGTTAGTCGCCTCTTACAACAAGCATGGGTTACTGAAGGCTCATTCTAACCTGGACCTTCACGGGTTGTATCTGGATGAAACAAACCAGTGACTTACAAAATCTCCTGCTGTCTTGGTACAATGACACAATAAAGCAAGTGATTAATTATCTGATCCATTAAGAAGTCACCTGTAGCAATAAACATGGGTTGTTTGGGTCCAATTATTACCCAGAATCACAACAGGAATGATCATATAACACCACTACACATTTAAAGTTGAAATTAAACACTTTTTCGAAACTCACAATTTCACATATTCTTTCAAGTTTGAGAAAACACTTGATTACTATTAACATGATTAATAGTCATTCAGACTCTGAAGACAATGAAATAACATTCATGTAATATACATTTACTTATTTCTAGGTTACAAGTTTCAAAAGGTTCAACACTTAAATTACACCATCCATAATCAGAAAAAAGTGGTTATCATGATAAAATTCAAACACTTGTCCACCTCAATATCCCATCTGTGTCTTTCTAGAATCTGCCGACATCTTCCCATGTCATCAATTCCAGTGAGGTCCTGAAACAATTCAAAGTCTTAATCTAACATGTCTATCAAATATCATCATGATCATTGGCCAAGGGTTGTTCATATATGATTATACATTAATGGACATGAATTATTCATTGGTACATTTTTTAATTCATAACAGGTATGATGTAACTTAATTAATAACAAAAATAATTAAAAGGATTTTGGTGGATGTCATTGATGTCTTTTGTTGTAGGGATAATAGACATGATGAACATGTATTGATTCCATACATTATCATGATTATATCCATCATGTTAAACATAATCTTACTTATTACCATGATGAAAAAAACCCCAAGTGCAATGATGACATTTTACATTATGTCCGTAATCATATCAACATGATCAATACTCTACAATCACCTCTCACAGAGCTGGACAAGTAGCAATGTACCAGTCACACTGCTCAGGTTGAGGATTAATTTGTTTCAGTTGATTAACAAAACAGTTCATGTTCAGGTAAACAGGTCATTTTAGCTATTACATATTAATGATTATAAAAAAAAATAGAGTGATGCTTCTATCTGTTTAAAATATACTACAAAAGATGTTATTGAAGAACAATTTGAGCATATATGCGCTCATGAACATTTTTCACTTCAAGGAACTATACTTTAGCACATAACAGTTGCACAACTGACAGCGTAAATATTAAGTCAAAAGCACTAAATGAAATTGTGTATATATCTTTAAACATGTTAGAGCTACAAAATATGGATATAAAAAAATACACAAGCTCTCATGTTCATACAGTTTAGCCCTCTGTCAAAGAAGTTATATAACCAATTTAATGCCCAAATTAAATCACATAATGAAAGTCAATTCTTAAATGTATTCATACAACATTCACCATGTTAATAATATCATGCGATATCAATAAACTTTGTTCATCTGAAAACATGTTGGCAGTTTGGAATTGATTGATCACGAAATGATGTTGTCAAGTTAATTTGTCGTAGATAATTAGCAGTCGTAAACACCAAAATCCGTATTAATCATTACTAATATATGTTTTTGGAAACATGACACATACTGAACTTTTTTCAACGTCATGTGCAATACCATGTTTATGTATGTTGAACATTTCCAAGTGTGTTATCACTGCACTTTTTCCCATCACATGTAAAAACTACAAATGATATTGAAGATATTTCAATATGATTGATTTTAATGATTAACCACCATTATAAAAATACATTTCAAAAGCAAAAAAAATCGGAAACGTCACCTGGAAATGCAGCAATTGTTCCGTCTGCTCTGATGATAAGTCTTCTTCGTCAGCCATGTTGAAATGACAGCGTTGATTGTTATTTCCGTTTCCGCAAAAGCGCACAAAGATGCGTAACAAGCTGATGCCAACTCCTTGCAGCGGCTAAGCAATAAATAATACTGAATATGACGACATGTGGCAGCGAAGAGAACTGACAATATGCATTATCTTTGTACTCAGAAAGGGAAAGACTCCTATAGAAATATATTTATAATATAAACGAAAAAGAACCTTTAGAGATTTAGAAAATTTATCTCAAATGAGGAAGCGTTAACGTATCCCCGGATACATTAATTTGTACATATGTCTGCCTTTTAATTTGTTGTTCATATACACCAATCGCATTTTGATCGGAGTATCGACTGTAAACATTGGTTGTGCAACACAAACAATAAGCTTCTCCAGGTTGCATTTATATAAGTTTTATGGATTAAAATTAACACATTGTTCCCTGAGGACACCGACCACACGCCATGACACTAAACGCTAAACGTACCTTACTCTGAACTCTAAAACACAGATATAATGCAGTTTTAATTCAGCGCGTGTGAAGATAACGATTTCTTTTTCTCGATGATAGAGAAAAGAAATACTACGTAGTTACACTACAAACTATAAAGGACAGCAGGGTACCCGAAAATGAAATACAATGGCATTGCTGTAGAGTTGAACAATATTTTTACTGGCATTCGCATTGTGTAAAAGTTCCGAGAGTGACGCCCCTTGACTGCACGTGGACTTTGTTGATATGTCGAGAAATTAATACTATGTATTTCCAAAAGTGACGCATCAAACTTGATTATTTTATTATCAGCCGAACGTACATTAATGTTAGTAAGACTTGCATATTGCATGTGGGATATGCGCTTTCAGCAGAAACGATGGGAATGGTTGCAGGTCGCTTATTCGTTCTGTTTATTTTGACTGGATGTTTACATGTGTCATTGGCCACGCTATCCAAAAGTGATAAGTCAAAGAAGAACAAAGATGGCAAAAAGGTAAACATAAAACAATCAAGTTAACTAATAGCAGTGATGCTGAGTAGGTGACCACCATATCCTATATTGAGAAAAGGCAGTTGACAAAATATTTTTGGTAACATATGAATTTCTCTACTTGAGGAAGACTCGAGAGTAAGTGTGTTGGATTTTAACTTTAACTGTATTTTCGTTCTATTACGTCATGAGGGCAGCTTGATTAAGGAGGAAATCCAAATGTGAAATAGGCCATAGACTTTTGCCATTTTTGTGAAACAAATGGGTATATTTCTGACGAACATGGAAGTATATTTAGGTCATTTGAAACTTAATTATAATCATAATGTTTTCTCATACCTATGGAACTCAACTCTGCTGGAATATGTGCAGATGTCATTACACAGATTTATGAACTGTTCCTTATTGTTTTCCTGACAGATCCATTATCCAAATATCCGCATCACACCTTATATGCATCAGCATAGCACATGCATCATGATCTGATGACAGTTGCAAACAGATTCACTTCCTAAAACACTTGCCTTCAGATACGAGAACTTTAGATCATGTGGCAATATATTTAGTTTTCAAGTTGGAAACCAGGCTGGTAGATATTTTTTCTGCCACAACGCGATGAATCCAATTCAATGAGGACACAAAAAGTTGCATGATTGAAAAGCATGTGTTTTGGGAGACAATTTGTGTTGCAGTTTTTTGTGGGATTACAGTTTATGTACATTATGTTGGATTGTTAGTTTGGAATGTTCTGAATTAGAAATCTGCTATGAAAACACCATGGGTTAGCCTGTCGTCCGGTGTAGGGCGAGAAGACAAAATCAGAATTGTTTATAGGCAACAGAGATATGCTTACCGTGGCTGAATATGAGATTACAGTGACACATGATGAGTTTTATTTCACTTGAAAACAGGGTATTAATGGTATATCAGTGGCATTAAATAAATGGTTTTCATACCATTGCCATAAATAACAATTGAAATTCTTTGTTAATTCTGATGATATTACAGTCATGACATATATAACCCTATCAACCCCTCGATACTTTATTATAACTAAATCATTGCAAACTACAGTGTCCATTATGAGTTTCTGTCATATACTTGTATGTTCCAGAGTAAAGTGAAGAGCGTGTTTGAGAGAGGCTTGGTGAAAGAAGACACTACCATTAAGGAGATCATCAAGGATCATGCTCTGTATAGTCAGTCCCACGTGGAGAACAAGGCATTTGAAGGAGAAACACTAGCTTATGTAACACCAGTGAGTTATTGCAATCATCACTTACGACTTATATAGTCTCCCTGGTTACGATTAGTCTAGTTTGTTGTTTCATATCCTGTGCCCTATGGAAAACGCACAATTAGTGACATAAGGTAAGAACTACATTCTCAGATCTTCTAAGCTAAAATATTTCCATGGTGTAGTGTTACAGAATATTTATGTCTGGATACGATTTGAACTACAGACCTTATGATCCAAGTCAGAAGAATTGTCCACTGGACAAGAGGCAAGCTGACAAGGATGGTATCTGCGGGTTAACTCTATGTCCTGCTACAGTAGGACAGTCAAATTATATCATGAAAATGTAATTCACTTTGTATGATTGTAGTATGTATGAGGACCTAGTCCTCTGAGAGTCTGTGCGGAGTTGCAACCCTCAGTTGTGAAGGGATCCAGTGATCATGGAGTCACCCTATTTATGATCATTGGTTTGTTAGCATGCTGCCTGCTAATCCATGTGGTTTATCACCCATCCATCCACCCATCCACCCAACCTGGCTATTGACTAACTGTTTGTGAGTGAGTGGGTCTTCGGCAAGACAAACGAACACTTTAACCACTAGGCTACCCCACCGCCCTTACTAACTGTTTGTGAAAACCAGTAGTGTGGCAAGAACTTTTCAGTTAAACTATAACTTTATCATGTTTATTTCCAATTCAGTGGAACAACCATGGTTATGATGTAGGGAAGATATTCGGCAGCAAGTTCTCCTATGTGTCCCCAGTATGGCTGCAGATCAAACGAAAACCAGGGGGTGCGTTCTTCATGCAGGGCAGCCAAGACGTTGATAAAGGTAGGACCACCGTTGCAGGCCACCAAGAATGTCGCAGATGTCATTTCAGTTGATTTTAGTGTTAATATTTGTACTCATACCAGTTGAGTTTGCTTGACATGTGGAATTATGGAAGACCTTGTGGAAGATAAGTGGTTGTAATTGCCTTGACTAATTGCTTTGTGTAATTGTGTAATTGCGTACACCTTGACTCTCTCATTGAATGTGTTGAATCAGTCACTTTTGACAGTCATGTTATTGTTGCTTGTATACAAGGCTGAATAAATACATATTTTGACACTTTTGAATTTTGATGCATATGTAACTCATTTTGTTTCAGGATGGGTGACTGATGTGATTAAAGGAAGAGACACAAAAATGGGTAAAATGGATTGAAGCACTGAATCAATGAAATAATACTTGCAATTTGATTGCCTGTGTTAACATAGTGGCAAGAAAATGTCCTGTTGAATTTGAGAGGGGGTTTGTGGTGCTAAGAGGTTTGAATCCCAGGTTAACTCAGATAATGATCTGAGCACTAGTGGTGGTCCGATTAAGTGAAATAATCGAAGATTGGTTGCAATGACTAAACGACCAAGCAATCGATCATGTTTTCTCATAATCGAACACAAACAATTTTGGCACACTTGTTTGCATTAACAACATTTTTCATAAGGTTGGTTTTGTCTGTTACATTTCATAAGTACTACAAGCTCGTTCCTTGTCATGATTGAAATAAACTTAAAGATTCCAGGAAATTTATGTTCCTAACATGCTAGTCCTCCTTAAAAGATGTGAAATTTGTAAATGCATTTTGTGCAATTTGAAAAAAACACCAAAAGAAGTACATGTTTTTTCTATATTTTTTGTGCATTAACAAACATAAACAGGAGAATTTGATAATCACGCTAACCAATTTTTTTCGATGATTGATCGGTTGTAATGAACCAATCATCAATTGTTAGATTTTAACCAATTCCCAACACCACTGAGCACCATACCAAGTAGGTTTGACTGAAATGGTAGCATCTATTACCTGCATCACATTGGGCTTTCCTGATATATTAAGATGACATGCATAAAACTTATTCACTTGCTTATTAAGACTGGTCATTATTCTCTACTCATGAAGAGGTGACATATCCTTTATCTTAACTGTGATTTAGCCATGATTGTAGTCATGCCCCATTGATGCTCACACTTTTGATCACTGATTTGTCAGCTCAAGACCTTAAGTTTTGTTGTGCATCAAGATATCTGAAAACAGTGATGCACAGATCCATCAACTCTCTTTGAAGATGCTTCCTTATCTGCCTGGACATACTCTATAGTTGGGAGTTACCCTGCTTGATTCAGGAACAGAATAGCTTCATTGTAACTCAGATTTATCATAACGTCTGATGGCATCTATGACTTGACTAAACATGGATCATTGCTCATGATGTAAATCACAGGTTTGTCTTGTTTCCAGATTATTGAGAGGGTATCTACATATGGCTGAAATATTGCTGTGACAATGCATAAAATCACTCGCTCACTTGCCCGACTCATGAACATGAAAAAGTATATTATGTCAAAAGGTTACTGAAGCCCTTAATTAATTATTTAGTGTTTCTCTACCAGAGATATCACCTTGTATATCAGTAAAATTCCAAATGTGACTGTTTTGTCACAGTGCCATGTGTTGTTTGATGGGTGGAGCTACAATGACTACCAGACAGTGTTTGGTAGTGAGGATCTGATAGAGGATTGCATCAACACTATGCTCAAGTTCATAAAGGTCAGTGGAAAGTTTCTGTTGGGAGCTGGGCTAAACATGCTAGATTGAAAACAGAAAGGTGGCAACAGAAGTGGGACTTCCCAATGAAAGCAGATTACAGTTCCAATTGATCAGCATATTATTTCGAGAGTTTCATCATAAGAAAATATCGGATACTTTATGGAGTGGTCAACAAATCGAGTCAACAAAACAGAAAGGTGTCCATTCAAATGTCATTCTCAGCTCCTTATGGAGTATACAGCAGGGGAGGCAACTTGTAATTGAAAATCATCAGCACACTATGATCACCATGTCATGTTTCCAGTTTACTGTTTCAGAAACAAGGAATGTCTGGTGTTGTGGTGGAAATTTGGTCTCAACTTGGAGGTCATATGAGAGAGTGAGTGATATTTGTTGCTCAAGTTGATATGTGTTACCTGCCATATTTTGAATGTATTTATAATAGGGTAGTCTGCTTCCTTACAATGCATTATTATTATATTTGGCAGTCACCATTTTATTTCTTTATATTTTATTATGTGCATTAAAGCTTAGATGAAACCAAAAAAATAAACATTCCGGTAATTAAAACACAAATATCATTTGTTCATGACATATAATATACATTGCTGATTATGAAAAAAACAAATAAACAAAGTTATAAGCGTACAATCGCAAATCAAAAGTGCAATAGGTTTTGCTTGGGTTTACTTCCCTCGAAACAAAGCACCCGGGATACCGAACCCAGTCAGAGCGGGTGGGCGTGCACTTAAGTATAACGAAGGCTTTCATTGGCTGGTTCATTTGTCAATAGACTCAGGGCTCTTTGTGTGTGTATAGAGATGTTGGGTTTTGTAAATACATGCTCATTTATTGTGTATAACATTTTGCAATCAACAGACATCATAACATGTCATGTGTACACGTATCACACCTGCCTGTCTGTGTAATTACATAATGTGACAGAGACAGAACTCAGTGCACCAGCCATAAAATCAATGTGTTTTGTTTATGGTGTATAGCCTTATAGGTGTTAAGTTCAAATTGCATGTGGTCAGTGATCGAAGTTGTGTATTGAATATTGTCATTAGCAGCCAGGCAGGCAGACACATGGGTGTCAATACAACAGACACTGAGTTTTGTCTGTGACAGAGGCATATCTATATCACAGTTAGAAATTCTGACAATGCTAAATAATGACGTTGCTTTTAAGTATCGAACTGGGATAGTGACTCAGTAAGAAAGAACGCATGGTGAAATAGTCAAATGAAATTATATAAACAGTTAAATCGGTAACCTACTGTCATAACATATAAAAGCTCGCGCCTGTGAAATATCAACAAAACATTACAAAAATAGCTCACATCAAAGCCTACTCCGAGTACTCTCGCCAGCGAAGGTTTTCCGTCTTGAAATGTCGAACACTGAGTAGATCTAGATCCTTAACAAGGTTCTTTTATGTAACAAGTAGATTATTTACTATTTGTTGTTTGTGTACACAACCAAGATTAGACTGACTACTCCTGCTTAAGACCTTATAATCCGGGCATCCTGCTGCAAGCTCCGCGAACCTATTCACTGCGCATGCACTATGAGAACAGCACAGCACAGCTGTTGAAACCACTTTTCACCCCAGCTGGGGTGATTTTAGTGAATCGTTTGAACTCTGATTTTACGGGGTGTGTGTGTGTGTTCCATCGCGTTATTTTTCCACTTTATGAGTTGAATTTGCATTTTTGATAATTTGTTACTGTAAGTCCATACTGAAGGTATCAGAATCTACAAAGTTGTCTTTTGTGTTGCATGTAAGCTTTACAGCTAAAGTCTTAAGCAGCCTGTACCAAAACATTTGAGTCCACTTGCACACACTGTGTGTGCTTCATTTTGTTTTTAATTGAGGTGTTCCGTCAGCTTACCAGGCAAATAGTCTTACTTGACTCTAAATACAGACTTTAAGCCCACTGATTGCATAAGTGATATCAGTGCCACCTAATGATTGTCCATATTGTCCATATTGTATCAACATATGGTTATGGACAACTGACAAACAGAAAACTGAAATACAGTGTAACAAGGGAGACAACTGGTAGTGGACTCAAACCAACAGGTATTACAGATGTGTGTTGTCTTTCAGAGAACTGGTGCACTTCCTCACTCACATGGGAGAGATGTTCCGGGCAGAGAACAAGCTCTTCATCCTCGTCATCCCTCCACCCATGTATGGAAAGTGAGTTGAAATTTTGTCAGATACTGCTGAGAAAAAAACTTAGCATATCTGTGTCCACATGCTCTTTCACAGCCAGGATGGTGAGGTAGTGGGTCAGTCACTGGCTTATCACACCTAAGGCTTGGGTTTTATTCCTTACATTGGTACAGTGTGTGAATCCTGGTGCTGGTGGACCAAACCATGATAAGGCTGGGATATTGCTAAAATGGCATATTCCTTCCTTCACAGCCCTGCTCAGATTACATAACATATGACTGATATGTGATTGGGGTGGGCCTAATCACAGCAGGGGACGGATGGTACATGGATTGCTCTGATGGGCGGCCAACTTGGAGGACTGTTTTTGTTTGTTATTTATGTCCTCATTCAGAAATATTCTGGCTGTGATGATGGCCTGTAAACCAGTGATTGATATTGTGAGCCTCAAGCCATGTACATTGAGTTCAGCCACCCACAATCAACTAAGTCAACAAGTCAACCACATGTGCTACTTTTCACAAAATGAATGTATCGCTAATGCTGCCGTAAGTCTGTATTAAACTATAGAAGTTACGACAGTTGTAAACTTACGATCACGTTATGAAACAGGACCCTGATCCCTAAATTCAACCTTACTTGAGACATAGGTTCCTGGGGTCCAAAAGTTTAAACACCACTAGCCTTTGGGAGACTAACTGTGAATACTCTTTCAGTCTTCCATGGGGCCGGGGTTAGATTAGGTTCCCAGTACTCTCTAGCTTGTCAAAAGAGACATCTGTATTGGATGAGGTGGTCAGACTGGGAGACTTGGTGGATTGCCTGTTGTCAGATGCTAACTGTGTGGGACATTGATTTTGACATACATCACTGGTGTGGCTGATCTGGACTTGATTATATACAGCACACTGTCATCTAATTTTGATATTTTAATGTGTGTACTGCTTGTCAAGTGCGAGTGTTTTTTTATTCACTATTAACATGAACGAGTGGAACATGTTACCTGTTTTCCACAGAGACAGGCAAGGTCTGATCTCCAGGAAGGAGTTTGAAGCTCTGGCTCCATTCGTTGATCGGTTCAGTCTCATGACCTATGACTTCTCCAACCCTCAAAGGTAGGTGGGATATGTGTAGTCAGCCTCTCTAAACTCTACACACTGTTGTTTTCATGCTAAAGTAAGATGACAGCATCCTGAAAACTCCACACACTTTCGATTTCATGCCAAAGTAAGATGACGGCCACCTCTAAACTCCACACACTGTCATATTTCATACCAAATCAAAACCACATCACACTCTAAACTCCACACACTGTTATTTCACATGAATTCAAGACAGCCACCATCTGGATGTTTCAGACCAGGTCCTAACAGTCCACTTGTATGGATGAAAGCGTGTGTGGAGATGTTATCTCCCCCTGATTCAGCCCAGTATAGAGACAAGATACTACTGGGACTCAACTTCTATGGCAATCACTATGGCCCAGGAGTTGGGGAACCAGTTTTAGGAAACAAGTAAGTCATCAAAAGCATTAATTGTATTTTCAGATTTCCAAATTATGATCTCTATGTATATTGTATAGTAACAATCTTTTAAGTCTGTGTGAATTTGTGTTTTTATTTGTAAGAACATTGAGAACAGAATTACTTATTAAATCATGAATCTAATGTTGTGAACAAAGGAATTAAGTTGAAGTGTGTGTAAGATAAACCCATGTTTTTTTTCAGATATATTGAAATTCTTAAAACCAAGCCAAAGATTTCATGGAGAGAAGATATTGCAGAGCACATAGTTGAATTCAGGTAAGGTTAAGTAGATTGTTGTATGTATTAGGACAGTTTCCATGATATGAAAAACTGAAAATGAGATGTCTTTAGTTTTGTTTGCAAAATGTCTCATCATAAAGACTTTACAAGTGGTGCCAAAACATCCAGCTTTATATTAACAGCCTGAACATAATGATATGTTGCAACTCTTGGATCTTTCTTTGACATAGAACAAAATATGTAAACTCATAATCTATATGAACTGAGATGTATGTGAAAGTCAAAGAAGTTACTATATTAAACAGCTTAGCACCTAGTTTACTCAAGGAGTAGATTTCTTGAGGAATGTGTTCACGTCCATCTTACTACAGTGAGACTTCATTGGCTTAGTCTCTGGATACAGTGGAGGCAGCAGTGATTGATACTGACAGATGTTTGTTAATCTCGCAGCAGCAGCACCGGACAGCATGTGGTGTTCTTCCCTACACTGCACTCAATCCAGATGAGGCTGGACCTTGCCAAACAGCTGGGGACTGGTATCTCCATATGGGAGGTGGGGCAAGGACTGGACTTCTTCTATGACTTGTTGTGATGGGTGAGGCTCAGCTTTACACGGAGATGGACACCGTGATCTTGCTGTGGGAAGTGGGGCAAGGACTGGACTTCTATGACTTGTTGTGAGGGGTGAGGCTCAGCTTTACACGGAGATGGACACCGTGATCTTGCTGTGGGAAGTGGGGCAAGGACTGGACTTCTATGACTTGTTGTGAGGGGTGAGGCTCAGCTTTACACGGAGATGGACACTGGGATCTTGCTGTGGGTAGGATGACAAGGACTGAACATCTATGACTTGTTGTGAGGGGTGAGGCTCAACTTTGACACTGATAAACACCAGGATCTTGTTGTGGGTAGTGTGACAAGGACTGGACTTCTATGACTTGTTGTGAGGGGTGAGGCTCAACTTTGACACTGATAAACACCAGGATCTTGCTGTGGGTAGTGTGACAAGGACTGAACATCTATGACTTGTTGTGAGGGGTGAGGCTCAACTTTGACACTGATAAACACCAGGATCTTGCTGTGGGTAGTGTGACAAGGACTGAACATCTATGACTTGTTGTGAGGGTGAGTGACACTGATAAACACCAGGATCTTGCTGTGGGTAGTGTGACAAGGACTGAACATCTATGACTTGTTGTGAGGGGTGAGGCTCAGCTTTGACACTGATAAACACCAGGATCTTGCTGTGGGTAGTGTGACAAGGACTGAACATCTATGACTTGTTGTGAGGGGTGAGGCTCAGCTTTGACACTGATAAACACCAGGATCTTGCTGTGGGTAGTGTGACAAGGACTGAACATCTATGACTTGTTGTGAGGGGTGAGGCTCAGCTTTGACACTGATAAACACCAGGATCTTGCTGTGGGTAGTGTGACAAGGACTGAACATCTATGACTTGTTGTGAGGGTGAGGCTCAGCTTTGACACTGATAAACACCAGGATCTTGCTGTGGGTAGTGTGACAAGGACTGAACATCTATGACTTGTTGTGAGGGGTGAGGCTCAGCTTTGACACTGATAAACACCAGGATCTTGCTGTGGGTAGTGTGACAAGGACTGAACATCTATGACTTGTTGTGAGGGGTGAGGCTCAGCTTTGACACTGATAAACACCAGGATCTTGCTGTGGGTAGTGTGACAAGGACTGAACATCTATGACTTGTTGTGAGGGGTGAGGCTTCAGCTTTGACACTGATAAACACCAGGATCTTGCTGTGGGTAGTGTGACAAGGACTGAACATCTATGACTTGTTGTGAGGGGTGAGGCTCAGCTTTGACACTGATAAACACCAGGATCTTGCTGTGGGTAGTGTGACAAGGACTGAACATCTATGACTTGTTGTGAGGGGTGAGGCTCAGCTTTGACACTGATAAACACCAGGATCTTGCTGTGGGTAGTGTGACAAGGACTGAACATCTATGACTTGTTGTGAGGGGTGAGGCTCAGCTTTGACACTGAGAAGGACACTGGGATCTTGCTGTGGGTAGGATGACAAGGACTGAACATCTATGACTTGTTGTGAGGGGTGAGGCTCAACTTTGACACTGATAAACACCAGGATCTTGTTGTGGGTAGTGTGACAAGGACTGGACTTCTATGACTTGTTGTGAGGGGTGAGGCTCAACTTTGACACTGATAAACACCAGGATCTTGCTGTGGGTAGTTTGACAAGGACTAAACATCTATGACTTGTTGTGAGGGGTGAGGCTCAGCTTTGACACTGATATACACCGAGATCTTGTTGTGGGAAGTGGGCAAGGACTGGACTTCTTCTATGGCTTGTTGTGATGGATGACGCTCACATCGATGGACGCTTAGATCTCAATACCCAAAAATCCCCCCTGGAAAGTAAATAGTGCTTACCTTGGCATAAGCAATCTTTCAGCCTTCGGAGCAGCTGCTCAACAGGACCACTTGCAGTTGGCAAGTGTGTGGGACTCACCCTGCCCCACATCTCCAAGGCAGGCACATTTGTCAGGGAGTCTAAAGACAACTTGTATAGACTCTCTGATATTGTGAAACCCTTACCTGTGATAGTTTTGTAACCTGAAGCTCTAACCAGTCTAGCTATCACTTACCCATTAGCTCTGCAACAAGTCAGTGAAGTATGGAGTCATCATTTTACTTTGAATGTTGATAAGTTACAATAATATATGTACACCATAATGTGAAGATGTGATATTCTTTGAAAGTGAATCATATAATTTTTTGTTAGTTTCAACTTTTTCAGGAATTATTAGTTTGATTGATGCATGTTTGCTCAATATGAAATGGAATTGAATCTGTGAACATTTCTGTATTTGGGTGGGTCGCACTGTTACACTGACCAGGATCACATCCCAACTTTACCTGCTCTATGTTGGCATGTAGGGTTCTGCTCTTAATGTTTGTTTTGTTTTGATTTTTTAGTCCTTTGTCTGATGGAACTGTATGAATAGTTCGATAGTGTTGTCTGTGATCACTAGCTTTTTAGTATGTATCAGATATTTAATTGATTTGATTAACTTTTGTGGATAAATGAGCGTTTTATAATCAGTAGAGATGAGATAATCAATCACCAGGCTCCTACAGAGTTACATGTATGGGTTGAGACTGACTGGTTTACAGATTCTGATGTCGTTTTTCATAGGGAAATATTAAACTTTAAAGCACAATTGTTTTTATTGAATTGAATGCAAATTGCATAACAGTTACTGTCAAACGATGTACAGTACAAGGAAGTGAGTTAAATACATCAAAACAGACAAGCATAACATGACAACATATTCAGAAAATGTTTTGAAGAACATTAAACATGTGTGTTTAAATTAAGTATAATATGTCTCCAAATCCAGAAATAAAAACTGGTCTGTCTCATTCCTGCCGGGTGTTTAGTTCACACCCTTAACATTTGTGAATCATTTGTGAATGATTTCATTGAACTAATTTGATTCAGTAGAATGCTTATAACTGTATGAATTTATGCGCACCCCCTTTGTCCTGAAAGTTTATTATATGACCCTTGAAAACTGGTGAAAATGAAGTGTGCACCCCCTTTTCTCTAGAGCGTGCACTCCCCCTTTCTCTAAAGGCTTTATCCGCACCTGCTCCTGGTATAAACAAAATATTATATACAGTAATCCATTGTAAACATTGTTTCTGAAGCGGAGAGCAGCGACCTAACACTTCTTTTTGTTTGTTCGTTGTTTAACCCTGCACTTGGCAATATTGAAGCTTTATGGTTTCGCCTGTAAATAATGGTGTCTGGACCAGACAATCCTGTGACTGACATAATGAACAACGATCCACACAAACCACAGGATGCCTCCTCTTATAGCCAGGATAGATTGATGGGTACAGTTCTAAATCAAAACAAATAAGGAGAACCTGATACTTAATTTGGACATTCAGATATGGAAGGATGTTATGCCCAGCATTTCAGGTAGCTGCAGTATTTGACCCTAGATTGTCTTGGTATCTTCATGTAAATTCATTTCAATCCTGTATTTCCAATTATTTTGTGAAAATCTGTCTCATTTCAGCGTTGTATTTGACTAGAAATAGGTGTTGATACTTACAACATTCCACTGGATCATGGAGCCCCGTCCAGTCTCGTATATCGGTTCACTTTGTAGCTATGAATGAATTCATGTATGACTGCAAGTTATTGGGGTATGCAAGGATAAAATTGTGATTGTTTTATGACGAGTTTTGTTTATATTTCAACATCACATGCACCTTGCATGAATAATGCTAGCACGTGCGACGTTCTTCGAGGACTAGGGCGTTCATAAATGTGTAATTTCATTTGTGAATAAGAAAATGTCTTTCATGTCGAAAATGGGTCCTGTGGTTTTGCTGCCTCTTTCAACAAGTTAGTTCCGAGGAGTATTTTTACCCCGATCCCAGTGAGTTCATTGCATTTCACCCAAACGAAAGCACAGCCTTGATGTTTTAGTGCCTCAATTCAAAACCTAAACACCCCAACCTTTTACAAAAGAATTGATATGAAAGTTAACAGTATCTCAACTTGAACGACATTACTACAAGGGAGGGCAGGGGTGGTACAGTAGGCCAAGGAGTCAGTTGTGAATGTACTGAGATGGTTCAAATCCAAGATACTGGTTATAAATCCTGGTAATCCTGCATCACAACGTGCTGGCGGTATTCAGAGGTAAACGACCACCACATGAACTATGTTGGCCTTACCAAACATCAGGGTTGAACACGCGATCATACTTAAATAAAAGCGAACGAAACATTTCCATAATCACGAAAAATCTCCACAAAAAGCAGGGTCCATTGTCCGATTCCAACTACATGTTTATCATACCCGTGTGGGTGCATGAAACGAAAAGCAGAGGTAATGTCCAGCGTTGTGTTTAACCCGCCTCGATCTCTTACTGCAGGGTTAATGACAAACACCCTATTGTAATGCAGGATAAATGTATTTAGCAATTGAAAAAAACAACACACACGTTCATAAAGATAGTTTATTTATCACAAGGCACTCTGAGGCAGCGATTCGTTATTCATGTAAAGTCTGCCAATTTAACAAAGTTATAACATAAAAAGACATTTAAAAGTTATTAAGTCAAGGAACCGAAGTTGAAAGCCACGTATCGTGACCACTTATTCCACAGAAAAGATCCAACTTTGCATGAATCCTTCGCTAACCGATTTATAAAATGAAAACACAGCACTGCTCCTGAGTTTGGCTGAACTCCGCAGAATATCCCCACAGAATATTTTGATTAGAAGGAACAAATGCTTGAATTACTTGACACTCGAATATCAAAACAGCACCACCTGTTGTCGACTTCAGCGAGTCAGGACTCCTCAGTAATGTAGCAACTACTTAGGAAGACTGGTCATTTTCTCTTTGTTGTAACCGGCCAATGTTCATAGAACAGCTTGTGATGTAGACATAGTTTGGCAGAGGACTCGAACAGCCATTCACTGAACCCCTGGAATCTCCGAACATACATATATGACTACAGTCCTTCTGCTGGAGTTGTAGGGTTGGAACTTCACTATAATGGACAAAGCAGGAAAGATGAAGAAATGTTTGAGTTTCAGTAGCTTTTATACACACATGCAACATATTTTAACCATTCCATGCATCAGAGTAATTGAAAGCCCTTTTGTTCATACATATATAACTATGCGCCATAAACGCTTTGTTCTGCTGTGCATGATACCACATGGTTACACACCATCGTGAAATACGCCATACACACACCATAGACTATATACACCATGCAAGTCCTGTATACAACAGTCGGAGAATACAACGAGAGATTATTAAAAGTACAAAAGTAAACAAGGTGACAGGATGCTGTCATAACAGTTGTCCAAGAGCTTCACAAAAGTGCGGTAACTGAAACTAGCACTGAGGTCACACATAAAAACGTGCAAATGATGTAGCTTTACATATACACTACGGCTCAAAATAAACCTCCCCTCGATGAGGACTGTCATTGGTAGGTATGTAGGTGCACTGCTGTGCTTCTAGACGGACCAATGGTCGATGGAGGTGTGATGACACGCGTTTAACAATATTCATAGCACAATAATAAAAAAATATCAACAAAGAGACAACTCGTCATTTCTTCGTAACGGTACAGGAGAGGTGAAACGTGCATGCGTTACTCCCGCAGAAAGCAATGACGACTAGTCTCGAGGAAACTGACATGTTAACCGTCCACACAAAGCAAGCTGATGTATTAGGCTGCATGGATGTGAGAAAACATTGTTTCCGTTTCATCAGGCTATCGCTACGATTCTTTAACACACATTTAAGACAGGCGTATTGCTACGATCGCTCTGTGAACCGGTCTGGTTCCACAACACTTTAACTCAAGTACAACATCAGGTATGAATATTTAAAACGGGGGATTATGCAGCTAACACGAAAAAGTGAGAAAAACCGAAATGCAACTAAAGAAATACATGTAGTAGTGAATACACATGTATCGGGTCCTCGCCCCCCTCGTTTGATAAACCTCCCTGGTGTAACCTGTCAATTGGCACCACGATTTCATCAGCCACAAAGGACCGGATGAATGGAATCTGTCACAATCTGAATGGCATTCATCTGTTTTGGTAGAAAGTGTGTAACGAATATAGCAATTGGATTTGTTCAGGTGAGCTTCACCAAAGACAGAAAACATTGCACACCAAGCTGTGTCCAGTCAACGTGCATGCCCATCCGAATACAATACATGCCGTTTCTAACTGATTGTCTGGTACCGGTATATCACTATACAGTATAATATTTATTATAAGTAAATGTAACTTCTTTACCCTTCTTGAACCACTTTACCCGAGAGGACATCTTATGGCATATTCTCTGACCTTCTATACTGCGAGACAGAATAGTCCAGGTGGGATTACCCTCATTACAATCAAATGGAATAAAAGATATGGACATTAATGGGATGGGCTTCACACATTGTACCCATGTGGGGAATCGAACCCGGGTCTTCGGTATGCGAGAGCTTGAAGGTTCGAAGGGTGTTTGGTGATATTATGAAAAGAGGATAGTGTAATATATATGAGCACACGGGTCATCATTCCCTGGTTTGCGTTCAGTCTCCACGCTTCATGATCAGAACGTAATCTCAGGACGTTTTCCTCAATACAGCTACTGATGGGTAACCCATCAAGCTGGCGGTAATGTTGCCCCATTGTACCTACCCACAGTGGGATATATGGGTCACATTCATCAGCACGTATACTGTCTTGTGTTGGACATTAATACTCGTGGGATGTTCACCATCAGCGTCAGTAACGAGAAACGTTAAGTTCAGATCCTGTGATGTATGACGCCCTGTTGGTCTCACACATTACGAAATTGACAGCATCGAGCGGTAGGCCGGCTATATACAACGGGAGCTAAAATGAACATAAACAAAATATTTACAGAAGCCGAATCATCTGGAATATATCACACACTAAAAACAAAAACAAAACGTTCTATCTTAAAGATGAACAGGGCTCGATGGCATTCCAGCAATTTGATTTTCGAGGCAGCACCAGTTAGGAAGCAAAACTGGAAATATATATCCAAGATATTTTTATGGATTAAACTTCTTTGTAATTTCTCTCACGACGTTTCGAGACCATTCCAGGTCCCTTCATCAGGTGAACTGCATAGAACTGCATAATATAGGAAATATATAGTTTGTAATAACCGTTAGTATGCCATATCCATGTTCGTTATTAGGATTTCCTGCTAAATCAGTCTCTCACTAAATAATCTTTGTGTCACAGAGACAAACATCAGATTCAGACAACTGTTTGCAATGTCCACGGCACCAGACAGTGGGACATACTTGATTTTATCTGTTTGGCAACAAATAGATACCCCATTATTGAGGAATACTTTTCATTTGTATTGCACTTCATTGCGCTTATGTACTGTAGTCTACACCCGTCAGGTGAGCAGCTCCATAGCCCTGCATCGAGGCCATCTACAGGTAGTCTGTTCATCCCAATCTGATGCATGCAGGATCCAAGTTCTGTACAGGTATAGTCCTCGATAGGTTCCATTTCGGTCATAATACTATTTATTCCATCACATGACTCGACATCTCTCTTTCAGCTTCGACATCTTATAGTTCTCCGGTCGTTTGCCTGTCCACAGCCCCATGTTCCTACACTCAGTTACTATAAACTCGTCCACATGAACGCCATAGAACACCTCCACCTCGTCCAGACTGAGGCGCGACACATTCAGGGGTACACTGGGCTTGCGCAGAGCTGTTTCTACTTCCGGTCGTATCACCTGGAAGTCCAGGATTCCTCCCAGGTAGTTCCGGGTCGCGAGTTCTAGGTTCACTGCGGGCAAGGCTGCATTGAAGAGAAAGTGACGTCATGCTTTTATAAACGTGAATTACATAGCTATGAATTACACAGCTGTATTAATCACAAGATCTTGCTTTAAATATGACACTGCAATTCCTATTACATCAAATGGTAAGTGTGATTTAAATTATGAAAACTGCAAAGAGGTAGAGCTAAGTTCACTTTGTGGAAAACGAACCAAAGATATTTGGAAAATATTTCATCTGATTCCCTTCCAAATCTGTTTGACTTAAGGTTAACCAATTCATAAATTATGATCCAGTGATCCCCTTGGAATATAAAGGTGGGACTTCCAAAGGAATTCCAGAGGTTTACCCTTTGAAAAATTGTACATTCACAATAGTAAAACATGCAATTGTAACCACTGTAAACAATTGTACGTCTGTTTCAAATTGTCAGCACAGCGGCTTATCACCCTGGAGTGACTTAAACCCAAAGTGGCTTAATTACTTACCGATACTGTTTCTGACCTTAATGAAACATTATGTGATTAGGACAGCTGTTGTTTGCCCAATGATGTCCCGTGACAGTGTGTATGTGAGCTATATCCGACTAACATCTAGTGACCTCAACTGACCTCTCTGACCTAGCAGGAACTGGAAGGCGGGTATGACGGACTGGGGGTCAAGCAGATGGAGCTTCACGAACAGGACGTTCATATCTCGGTTGTAATCCTCATCCGAGTATTTCCCCTTGATGATCTTCTTCAAAATTGCGTTGGTCCATTTTGGGTCCATGATCTCCGCCAAGAGCTTCTCTGCCCAGATGTGACTGTAACATTGGTACTTACAATAAAGGGGGTGACAAGGTATGGGGTGGGTATGGATTTAGTATACAGGGGGATTTTTCATAAATGATCGTGCGCAAGGACCTTCTTTTTGAAACATTCTAAACATTTGATGTTTTAATAGATGACCAGATACACGATGTGTGGACGTGTTACAACACTTTAACTCTTTCTTCTATAATCGCAGCGCCTGGAGCATGTACAAGTTACGTGGATATGTGCACTATATAAATATACTATAATAATAATAAATAATAATCACAACAATAGTTGGACGCCGAGCAAGTTATGCACTCATACTACTGATACCGGTATCAGATACATCACCATCGACAATAGTTCACCATTATTTGTTTCTCTCGTTTGATGCACCGTGCAACATATGTCTATGCTTTCTGTTGCCCGGAAGTTTAGAAACCAAGGTTCATCAGTATTTCCAAAACGTGGTAATACGGCTATGTGCTGCTTGGAACGTTACACGTAGACAATATACCGCCCGTGGTAATAGGGTTACGGTGTACCTGTACTCACCTGTCATCCCCCATGTAGTCTTGGAGTGTTATTCCAGTCTTGTGGTCCCTCACAGTGTCAGTGTAGGACATGGTGTACAAGGCAAACCCTGAAACAGACGTACATCCTTATGATCATTTTGCCAAATTTCCGTGCCCCATTCTGACGACATGTCATTATGTTTTACCCTTTGTTACTTTGTTTACGGATCGCCGTCTAAAAATCTAAAAATCAGAAATGTCACAGAAAATGAGTTTGAATCTAGTTTAAACATTGAGTCAAGATCAAAAGAAATTTGAACTTTTTACCTTGCCCATAACACCTCAACGACGGGTACTATTCACAACTTCTCATATGTTTTAAGCAGAAAGGCTTCATTCTCAGAGAGGCCAAACCTATTTTACATTTTTGTCACATTCCCCAAAAATATATTAGAAAATACGAATCTAGAGTTTTATTTTTTGCACCCTGACAAACATATCATCTTGGTATATACAAAGTCAAAGTATATACAAACAGTTTTTTGTGTGTTTGTACTTTATTTTGTTGCTCAAGGAATAAGAAAGAAGGCCTCAATAGAATTGCAAGCATAGTCTGATGTTCGTGGGAGAACTCATTCGAGCACAACAGATAACACAGATATCTGTGCCTGTGTGGACGTCAGATGGCGCGTGAAGCGGTCCGCTCTAATGAAGAGCGTGTCCCTTACAGCTCTATTTATAAATTGACATAGATAATTTCATACATTATTACCCTTCTGATAACAAAATACATTATAAAACTTTCCTCAACTATTAAGTGTTGCCTGTCAAAACAAAGAAAGATTTTGACACATGTTTTAGATATTTTGTGAAAAGAAACTTCTAGAATGATATATTTTACCTATGCAACTAAAATAAGAGTAAAGTTGACTATTAAAAGCGGACTATGCGGTTTAGAACTATGCCCATTTCCAACATGGCTAAATACATTACAATTAAGGTCGTGAGTCAGGCAAAATAAGTTCGTGTAAGTGTTTGATTTATAATATTGCTAGTCAACAAACAAAGTGTTCTTTGAGGGAATCCACTTAACTCTCATTCCATGTCCGCCAAATATCTCTTTTCACTATTTCAGTCACCCTTTGACCTTCCTGTTCTCTTGCCTCCTCTAAGGTTTTAAAATGCACTCCTTTGCATGTATATAAATAGCACCCGTTCTAGAAATGAATAAACGAATTTTTAAAATTTAACCTATAAGACTTTCTGGTTTAGGCCTTATTATGTATTCTGGGTTATGCCCCAAGAAAGCCAGGCTGGTCGTTACAGGCAACCTAGTGGGTTGGCTGGTCACAATCAGCGACTTGCCACGGTTGATATGCGTGTCATCCTACCCCGACCTCGTGGACCTTTGGTTACAATGTCTATCATTGGGTTGTCTTGATTCACTATTTACAGGCCGCTATGGTAAGCTGACATACTGCCGAATGGGGCCTGAACATAACAGAAATACACTGATACAACACCGAAGCACAATCTAAATACCACATTAACACTGTAAGCAAATTCAGTCTTTCTAACTAGGTTTGAGGTAATCAGTAATCAGCGCCATTATTCACAAAACGTAGGTACAACAGCTTCGATGCCATGTAGAGTCGTGTGCAGTCAGGTGATACACAGAGTATAAATCACACCCGGTGTATATATAACTTAATGTACATTACACCACAGCCATGAGTTAAGCCTTTAACGCGATGAATAGGCAAAAAGTAGCTTTGAAACGTCCTCACAAATATATAAGTTATAATCTGTTTACGTCCTCCTAAAGACGCCGAGAGTCTATCAAATTCGAGCAAGCCGTTGGCCGACTTTGTGTTTTGTTAAACAATGGCACAGTGACAACTGACCACCTTACCGGACGAATCCCAACTTCTCCGGTTGTACGAAACGCCCATTTGCCGGAAACTGTTGTTACAGTATAAGATAACTGTTAGTTTAACAAACGTGTCTAATAAAATCCGAGATTCATTTTGGGGGGAAAGAGCGTATGACCCAGAGTTAATTACAGGCCGGGCCAGTAACTTACTTAAGCATTAGTTGGGTTTGGGGTCCAAGGCCGAGTGAGTGAGCGAGTGAATGAGTGAGCGAGCGAGTGAGTGAGCGAGCGAGTGAGTGCGTGAGTGCGTGAGTGCGTGAGTGAGTGAGTGAGTGAGTGAGTGAGTGAGTGAAAAAGTCCAGAAAATTTCTTAATTTCCAGGAGCTGAGGCAATCTAATCGTTCCCAATCATTATAGACATATGGACACATATGGACACATGTAATGTTTATTCTCTATGGACCATGAGACAGTAGACTATATCTCACCTAGCTTCTTCCAGTGCAATCCCTCCACCATGTCCCGGAGAAGGTCCTCAGCAGCCTGTCTGTTGATGGACTGGTGGAACTTGAACTCGTCCTTACACCGGGAGATGGTGTAGGCCACAAAGGCTGTGGCTAGCTTGGTCATCGGGAAGAGGCGTGGCTCGACCTGGGCCACGAGGGTGTGCGGTAGGGACGTGGGGAAGAAGGTGTCGTGGACAGATAGGTCGGCCTTGACACAACTGACCAGCAGTGCGCGCGCAGCTTCCGACACAATGTCCTGGCCATGACTGTTGAACGGCGTCAGGGACTGAAGAACGTGAATGTTCAGTTTATCTGCCATCGTTGATGACTTCATTTGATTGCTAGTCCTGTTGGTCTCAGTAGACTAACTGTACTCCTCTGTCCGATATACGTTGTCCATGTCTCTGTTCTTGATGCCGTCAGAGTTGTGTGATCATATGATCATTATTATCATAGATGATTTCGTATGTATCTGTAAAAATAAAATCAAACATTAAGTCAAGTCAAGTTAAGCGATTAAGACACAAAAACAACTGAATTATTGAAAACTCAAAAGAAAGGTTATTGTGTCAAAGTAAAATCTGGGTAATAATTTTCACCGCCGAGGAAAGAAGTAGATCACAGGGCAAAAGTGAAAGGTCTAAAGGTCGGGCAACTAACAACATTCGATACGAAAGCCACTCCTTGAAAAAGCAACCAGGTAATATCAAACGAGAGGGAAGTTCACAGTCTAATGCGCGTGTGCATTAATGCAGGTTTGACACTTTCGTCAAACTACGTTGAAGTCAGATTTGGACAATTGCATTCCATTTCTGAGGAAAGATTAGCCGATGGTTCTGCAACATTTGTGTTAAATTTCCCATGTTTGATTGGTGACGAATCAAGAGATCTTGCAGGTCGGGGTAACATTGACATTGTTCTTGAGTGGATACTTCCGACAACTCTATCAACATGTAGTCGTGTGGCAATATCATCCCAGGGCCAGTCTGTTGCACAAATGGTGAAGACGTCGGTTGTATACGCGTCTGTTGATACTGTCAGGATCCTGTGTCGAGATGCTCTGTTCGAATCCAAGTCTTACCAAACACGGCTAACGCCTATTTTGTAGACAGCGTTTGACGCAGAATTTCTGCTGATAGGTCGCCACAACACCAAACGTTCCATGTTGAGTTTCTGGATTCAAGCTTTCCTGTGGCTCAACAACTAAAGTGACAAGTCTACAGAACAGCGTGTTGACTTGCATCAACTATGCCTAAACCCCTTACCTTTCCAGTGAAGTGACAAGTCTACAGAAGAGCGTGTTGGCTTGCATCAACTATGCCTAAACCCCTTACCTTTCCAGTGAAGTGACAAGTCTACAGAAGAGCGTGTTGACTTGCATCAACTATGCCTAAACCCCTTACATTCCAGTGAAGTGACAAGTCTACAGAACAGCGTGTTGACTTGCATCAACTATGCCTATACCCCTTACCTTTCCAGTGAAGTGACAAGTCTACAGAACAGCGTGTTGACTTGCATCAACTATGCCTATACCCCTTACCTTTCCAGTGAAGTGACAAGTCTACAGAACAGCGTGTTGACTTGCATCAACTATGCCTATACCCCTTACCTTTCCAGTGAAGTGACAAGTCTACAGAACAGCGTGTTGACTTGCATCAACTATGCCTATACCCCTTACCTTTCCAGTGAAGTGACAAGTCAGCAGAACAGCGTGTTGACTTGCATCAACTATGCCTATACCCCTTACCTTTCCAGTTAAGTGACAAGTCTACAGAACAGCGTGTTGACTTGCATCAACTATGCTTATACCCCTTACCTTTCCAGTGAAGTGACAAGCCAGCGGAACAGCGGGTTCACCTTGGCGAAAAGCAACAAACGTTTGAGGACTCTGACTCACAATGAATGGCTAAAGTATCATGCAGTGACATTAATCCACTACGTTTATATTGTCGTCTGGAGCTCAGTAATAACCTTCCAACGTACGTGTGCTCAGATCTCATGAGTTAAACATTATGCTGACATCCAACATCAGACTTGTCGTAGATGTCTATCCTCTGATACTATCCTCGTTAGGGTTCATGCACATATTATATACAGCCCTGATTGGGGGTTTACGACGACATAATGTTATGTTTGCATCAGTATACACATCAACTAATCTTCACTCGAGGCGCACTGCGTCAATACCTAAAGTAACCAGTTCATTGGCGATTAGCTCACAGGATGTACGACTTCCAAAGGCCGCGTGACGTCACAGCACGTGCTATTGGCTTAATGAATTTGACATAATACATCTGCATGAAAGTCTCCTGTTTGCTTAATCGAGGTGTGTCAAATCTTCTTAGTGTATTGTGCAACAAGTAAGGTTATGACACAGTATAGGATTCCTGACTTTTTGCGTCGTTCGTACCTGAAGGAAGCTTACAAGGTTTGATTTTGCAATTCTGTGAGCATGCATCTGAGCTCTATTTCAAACGGAGACTTCTTCTCAAACATGTCTTGTAGGGCCCGAGCTGGTAAGAAAATATTTTGCTTTTCTTAAAAGGAAATCACAGAGATTATCGATGAAAATATTTTCAACAGACACAGATGAGTATATTTAAGTGGTCTTTTCTTGATAGTCTTTTGTAGAAAGGTATATTAAATCACTCTATATTTTCAAAATTTACCTCAAATGATCATTTGCACGTTACAGAGTCGCAAGTAAACACTTAATCCATACATAAGTAAACACAACAAATCATCACCACAGAAGCAGAATCTAACAGTCTACACTAGAAAAGATCGCACTGTTTCTTCCAATCAAACACGTGTTACATCGATTATTCAGCGCTATTGTGAGGCTAACGTATCCCCATCTGCCGGGGTGTGGTCAACGTCAAATGTACTGTCAGTGACTGCTGTCTAGAAGAAACGTTTGCGCTGGATTTAACACTGTTCCAGCATGTTCCCTATAAAATCTGTTTCATTCATGGCGAGGAATACCAGAAATGTGATGTCCTCAGTGTACCCTTTGCTGGGCATCGAACTGACGACCCTCAGTGTACCCTTGAACAACAGGTGAGTGAGTGAGAGAGTTATATATATGATATTCCAGCAATACCATGCCGGGGACACCTAAAATGGGCTTCACGTTGTGAATTGGCCTTCGGTGTAACAAGCGAACGCTTGAACCAGTAGGCTACCCAGCGTTCCAAAAATGTATCAATACATTGATATATTGTCGAAGCGAGGAATAGTAAGTTCGATATATTGGGCCATTGACCTCGAGAATGAGGTAAACAACCTGAACTTGGGGTCAAGGTCAGCAACACTGGTCTCTGAACACTAGCGATAAATAACCAGTCACTTGGTAGTCGGCTTTGTGGCGTTGACACCTAAGTGTTCTCTGGTTCATAATATAAGGCTTTCATTAATACATGTTGCTTATGAGTTGACATTCACTGTCATTTTACAGGCAACAATATGAATATGGCACATTCGTTTAGAAAATGTCAGAGACCCCTATAATCTAACTGTTGGTAAGACATACAGAACAAATAAATGTTAAGGGCCATAGATGTTTGGATGATATATTTTGTAGTAACGACTGGGCATACAGCTTAATAAAAATATCACAACGCATAGTCCTGGGCCTAGATTTTGGAAGCTCTATTAGCGCTAAGTTAGTCGTAAGTGCCATACATTAACATTAACTTACGACTATCTTAGCGCTAAGAGAGCTTCGAAAATCTAGGCCCAGATCGGTAACTTATTTTGCTGAGCATACACCTATCAGGACTAAAACCATCAATATAGCTGACAGTTGGACGTGATCTCTGGGGGCATTCCGGGTTGGAGCAGGTCCCACGGGGTCAATATTGGCCGCATAAAGTGACGGCATGGATCGGTTGATCAGTGATTTGGTTGCGTGCCAACAGAAGCATCGGCATGAACACTTGCTCATAACATCAATCACAGGTTTGTCGGGTCTAAACCCGAATATAACAGGTCGTTGTCATAAAGGGGGATTATTGTTGACTGGGCGGAAAAATGACGAACTACAAATGATGACTGTACTTGAATAAAGGTGTTACTTTTGATACTGGCTTTTGTTTTTGTTCCAAAGTCACCGTGACAGATTTTGATGCTCGTATAACCGTTTGGATAATATGTACACAAACATTGAATCGGAAATGAAACAATAACAGCTGATCTTTGGGGATATAAAGCGAGCTCGACTGCAACCTTTCTTGATATTGCCCCGGGCACGGTGGTATAATCTTACACTCAGCTGTCACGCTGATATAATTATAATTCACTCAGCATAAGTATTCCATTACTGACGATAATACTGATTCCGGTTAGATATGTCTTGTTTGACACGACACACAGTGAATACTGGTAAATATCAACACTTTTAGATCAGTACTCAACACTATGGACATAACAGAGGAGTATTGACGGTTTTAACTGTCATGTGTTCACATACATATATTTATACTTACTGGTAGTGTTCATAGTGTTCCCAGCATAGAACACCGAAGTCCGCCATCAACTTGAACACAACTTCACGGGTGTGAAACAGTACGTATATTCAATCACCTGATGGTATACACACTTTAAATGACTCGTGTTCAAAATGTCTAACGTTTCCCAGCGTTGGACATAGAAGTCCAACTCAAACTGAACACAACTTCACGGGTGTGAATCAGTCGGTGTATTGAATACAACCGATGGAATACATACTTTAAATAACTCGAGCACTCGTTTCACAAAAGGCCGATCGGTTGTGTACATCATTTCGCATACCTGACTTGTTACAATGACCTAGCGCAGACAAATAGACCCGACTTCTGTAGGTTCAAGGAAACCGAGCCTCATTTAGATATAAGATTCCACTGGAATACAAAGCGTGAGTTTATCCCACTGATATATCTAACCTTGAGGTCAGCCGCAACAGCTATATAGATAGTAACGCTTGGGAGGTGAGGCGGTACGTGTAGCCAGACTGATTGATCCACCAGGAGGTCAATACCACAAGCATACAAGACTGTTTCGTGGAGAGACATGAAGTTTACTGCATTCCTTTTTCAAATACATGAACAATTACTCATTTAATTACACCTGATATCATGTCTATATAGAGCCTAAGAAGTGGTTGCTATTGGTTGTTAAGGCTCCTACTCGGCTCATGGGTGGTCCAGCTGTTTCGTGCCCGAACCTATGATGTTGAGTTCGAATCCTAGATTTGTTTTAAGGTTTGCCAGTGCCCTACCCGTGCTCTTGGGTTTCGCCAAAGTGGTAACATCGATGACCTGCTTCAATTCCCACACGGAGCCAATATTATTGAATTATTGTTCGAACCGTCAACCAAAACTCACTCACTCACTAAACACGTTTTGCTCTGTGGTATAGTCGAAATGGTTCTCCTAGAGAGAGCTCATGAGAATCACTATACAATGTACGTTGAGCTACCGCAGAGACATGGGA